GAGGGTCAGCAGTGTTATCTGAGCTACAATTTCTGTGTCCTTGCTTTTGCTCTTTTAATGTAGCTTTTCCTGTATAGAACATCCCACAACTATATGGTGCAAAGCAGAAACCTTCTAAGAGTTGAAGAGGTAGAGACTTAATTCTCAGAAAACTGATGAATTTGGCAGAGTAAATAGGTAGTTCTAGTCCTTAAAAACAGCCTTTCATTGCAGCTAAGTCATACATGAGAAGAGATTCTGGCTTTTATTGTTACATGGTGTTTATTGTGATGGGTGGTACCAATTTTTAAAACAGATGCACGATGTGGAAGAGGGGAACATGTGACTTTGAGTCTGCACAGAGATGGATTCACAGCAGTTCAGACTTTTAACAGGTTGTTTAAATTCTCATTCAGCTTACCACCATGTTTGAGAGACTGAGTATGAATAATAGACAGCTGGAAGAAGAGATGAGAGACCTGGCAGATAAGAAGGAGTCTGTGGCCCACTGGGAGGCCCAAATTACTGAGATCATCCAGTGGTGAGTACTCTGTTCTCTTGTCATTACAGAATCCCCTCAACATGTGGTGGGGCTGTTAATGAGTCTTCGTCTTTGCACATGGCACTTGGAAGTGCTTAGGTGAAATCTCACACCTGTCTGGGAGTCTGCTGGGCCTTTGTTTGAGATTTCAGTAATATACAAATCCAGAAAATTGTGTTCCTCCTTAAGAGTGAAAGTGTCTTAGCAAATAGAGCTTTTTAAAATGCAGAAGAATCATGGCCATTGGGTGTGGCTTGTGGCTTTGAAAGAATGCTGAAAGGAGTCATGTGCTGAGCTCAGGCCTTCAAGAGGGAACAAGCCTGGGAAAAGCAGTGGCTGAGTGTATGTCTCGGCATTAATTTCCTTCATCTGCTTGGCATGTGGCAGAATGAAAGAAATACAGTCCAACTTTTATGTGATTTTTTTACAAGGAGGGCATTTGAGACTACCACAAAGCCAGCCAAAGTGATGTTTCTACTAGTAGTACTTTTGATAAATAATGATGTTAGTTTTCTAAAGTCTTCTTCCAGTTCTAATAAATTAAGGAGAAAAAAAAGAATTGAAACCATTAGGAGAAAAAGGAGAAAATAAAGATAGGTTTCTCAGCTATCTCTTATTTTTCCTCTCCATGCCTGCTTCTCTCCCCTCCTGTTTCATGATTCATTGCTGTGTTTAGCTTCTACAAAACCAGTTTACATTTAGACTTTTCCACGGATCATCCACTTCTGGGAAGACTTCACCATGATATAGTAATCTTTCTATTACTATGTGATTATTCCCTGCCCCCTTTTTCCCATCTCATGTTAGTGAAAAAATCAAATTTCCTGTGTCCAAAGATGGGAAACTGCTTTAATGAAACCCAGTTTGATGTTGTTGTAATGTCCATAAAATGTTGTTGTCAGATGCAGAGGAGTTTGGCTTTTGAATATGACCATGTGAATACATAACATGAAAGAAGGACTGTCCTCCAGGTTTCCAAGTGTGTTTTAAACAATGTTTTTGCTACATAAAATTATGTAATGCTGATACGTGTTGTGAAGTCCGTAGTGTCTCATGTCATTGTATTCATAGCAGAAGTTTAAAAATTTAAAGGGTCCACTTTGTGTGTGTTCCTTTTCAGTCTTGCCTCTCATAACTGTCATTGTAGTGGACGACCTGTGCCGCAGAAATTTTTTTTTTAATCACTTTAAAGTTATTTAAGTGAACAGTTAATTTCTGGACACTCAAACATGTTTGTTTGGAAAAAAATCAAGGTAACAAGTGAGACAAACCTATTATTTCACATTCCTTATCATTTTAAGGTAATGCTCATGTGTTGTAATGCACTAAGATAATCAAACCAAATTTTTCACTTTTACATGTGAAAGCAGTCATAAAACTATGGCAAAAGACAGGTCAGAATTAGCTGTGGATTGTTTTACTTAACACTATGTAAAAATGTACCATTAAGAATGTACCTTCCCCAATTTATGAGTGTTTAATATTTTAGGATGTACTGCTGATGTGATTCATGTATATGATAAAGCATTTTGCACGTCGGAGATGTCACTGGGAGCAGGGTAAAAGGGTTTGGGCTTGAGTTTATTGTCATCTCTAAAGATGACATAAGTGAAAAAAGTATCGGGAACATGCAAGGTACTTTCTGAATGACAGACACCATTTAATTGATACCTTTTGATAATATAGTGTCTTTTAGAAAATGTGGAACTAAAAATTAAAGAATAATCTGAAGAGAAAAAAAATAGTAGTACTGTGGACAAACATTAAGGAGATTAAAAAGGTCTGGCTTGGTTCCAGTTTTTCATTGCTATACACATCTCAGTTTCTCCTTCATAGTTTTGTCTGCTTATGTTAAAATTTTTTTCAGCCATGTGAGGGCCTTATCTTGGCTCACATTCTTTTCTTGTTATGTTTAGATTTTTCCATGCATTACCCAGATAATCTGGTCATGTACATCTGCTGAACTTAGAATTCCTAGGTCCTTCTCTGGAGAATTTTTGCTGTGGAACATAGGGTGCTATATGAAGTATTTAATCATCTATTATAATTATAAACAATTTAAAAGAATAAAACTGAACTAATTTTGAAGGAAACACATCTTACTTGATCAGTCATAAGCCCAGGTTTTCCTCAGATGAACATGCAATTTAAATCCATGCCTGTTCACATCTTCAGATGCCTTTGAGCGAGCCAGTTAGGGTAGAGCTTTTAGGCTTCCTCTTCAAAACTAGCATATTTTTCACATAATATTGCATTAAAATATGTATTTTGGGTGCATACTTTCTACCTCTTAAAAACTGCCATCTTCTTTTTGTACCATGATTCAGGAAGGATAGGAGACAGTATAAGGAATTAATAACTGGGTTTGTAAACAGTTTGCTCGGCTGCCTGTGGCAGTTCAAGAGATTCATTCTAGCCTTGTTTTGAGTAACACAAGCCCAAGGAGTCCCTAGCTTCCTTTAAGTGCTTTGCCATCTAATAGATACCTCTCTCAAGAAATCTGCCTTCCTGTTTGAATCTGTATTTTGGATGGTTGAGGTTGTAGCTTTCTTCATGACTCCTTGGGTCCTTCTAAATTACTATTTCAGATTCTATAACTTGAGAGTAATTTTCATGGCCTGTCACATTCCCTTTAGCCTTTCCCTGCTTTCTTACTCTGCTTTGTTGCATCCTTTTTAGGAATATGTATGAAGGCTTTTTAATTTTGCTGTTACTATCTCAAGATACCATAAATATATATTTAATTTATATTTTAATAGAAATACTTTAATCAAATTTTCAATGGAAATTTTACTATGGACACAACAACCCCACAGGTCATTCAGCCTTAATGGAGCTATAATATTGACAAGTTTATATTAGCAAAATCACTCATCATTTCTTGACAAGAGTAAGAAATATTGAGGCTTTTATAGTCTGCTATAAATTTTCCTATGGGAGATGGGAAAGAGGTTCGTTGCATTGGAGGTTAAAGCAGTCACTTTAAAAAGGAATCTTTTAAATAGCCATGGTTCTGCATTTCTGTTCTCTTTCAGAAAGGAGGTTGATGAAAATCTTGGTAGTGATTCCCAGAGTGCTTGGCAAGAATCTTAACTTATTAGTCTCTCTGGGAGGGATTCATGTAACCTAGTTGTAAAAGTCCTAAGGTAGATAAATAAAATAAATTCCATGACTAGTACTATAGAAGTCTTTTTTTCTCACAACTGATTGTAAACAAAGCCTAACTTCAAATGGATAATTCTATATTGTGGAGTATGTTTATGTGGCTGACCTAAATCACAGCTGTTTTACCTGCAGAATGCATGTTAGGCTTTAGATGCAGCTGGCCAGAAGCTGTGACTGTTGTTTACCAGAATGGTACTATGGTTTATTTTATCTGGATTACTGATTTCATTGAAAAAAACCCCCACAAAATAGACAAAACCACAAGCGAACAAGGCCCAAAATTTGGGTTGTTTGTTTGTTGTTTGCTTGTTTGTTTGTTTGCTCGTTTAAATCCATTTGCTCTCAAAACAAAGCACACACAAATTGTGAAAAAAATTTAGCAAAAATTCTGGGCAAATTCAACTGTAAGAAACTCAAAACATGGAAAATTCTGAGGTGTGCTGTATTTGAGGTAAGAATAATCAGAAGTTAATTATATCTAAAACAGAAATTCTAGAGAGCATGGGGAAATTTCAGGGTTTGGGAGCAGAGTGAAGTGTTGAGAATTTTTAGAGAAGTAGTTTCACAAAACAAATTTTGTTGGAGAGAGCAGGGGAAAAAGAAAAGATTAAGTCAGAGGCTTTGAGCATACTGATATGAAGACAGAAATTCAAAGGCATTGATAAACTACAGGAGAACTGGGAATCGTGACTTTAAGATTTCCTTGGGGATTTTAAATCAGGTAAGATGATACTTGGTGTAAGAGCCCAGGGCTTTAAGATTTTAGAGCAAAAGTCTGTAGTCCTGTAGGTCCATCTTGTATGGTAGAGTATCCCAACTGGAGACCCAGGGAGTCTGACTTTCCAAGCATCCTGGCAAATAACAGACTAGACAGTAGCCAATGGTTATTTGAAGGTTATCATGATATTGACTCTAACAAAAAAGTTACATATAATTTTACAAGAATTTGTACTATATTGCTGTTGTAGATTCTTTATAGTGAATGAACTCAGCTTGCAAGGGCAGTTATGTTTGAAAAGATGTATGTTAGGCGTGGAAACAGAACAATTCATCCAGATTTTGAGTAAAGGAAGAAGTCACTGGATGGAACCTGAAGAACTTTTCTTCCTTAGGTCTCTTGCTGTGCTTGTCAGTGGCCCCTGTCAGAATGAGAGCAAGGGGAGCAATGTTAGTAAGAGTAACTTTACTGTTCTAGCTCTGCCTTTTTTTTTTTTTCAGCCAGCCTAATTAAACAACCCCAGCAGAGCAGTAATGAATAAAAAAAGCTCTCAGAGCTCTTGGGTCTACATCATGTTTAATCAGTGCATGTCATTATTGAGAGAATTTTGCCATCTAGTGGACAACAAAACTGCCTCAGCTCCAAATTGTAGTGCTTTTATTTACTGTCTTTCAGAGTCTGAGGAGTTCCCTTGAACTCAGTGCAGGTATTTACAGAAATTGACCTTTTATTTTCATTTTCTAGATTTTTGCATGTCTGAGGAGCTTCTCTCTGAAGTTTTTGCATATGCAGTTTTTCAGAGTTTAGAGCCTGAAGGTTCTGTGCATCATAAACCAAATAACTGAAGTGCTTTCTCACCCTCCAGAAGGATCTATATGGCATGATAGAAATTGACAAAGACATTGGACATTTAAAGTTTTTTCGGCTTCATTTAGATAAGTTAAAAATAAGGCATGGGTTCAATTTTATTTTTAATATGACATTGTTCTTTTTTCTGCAAAGATTTTATGTGTCATTAAAAATTGAGAAAATCAAATGCTGATTCCTAAATATCTTTCCCTCCTTGTACATCAGGAAAACTTTCTC